TTACCGAGTTACAAGTCCTCTTTACACGTATAGTCTCATCTTTTGTCAGAAACTGTAGACACACACCATGAAATATTCAATTTTGATCTGCTGAGAACCTACGAGTGTTCAAATAAATATAAGAATTGAGAAACGGCTTAAAAATCGTCTGTGATTTCCGATAGTTTATATTAATGGAGGTTTTTCAAATTTTAAACATTTTTTCTTCATTAAAATAGGAATTTTAATTTATTAAATGTTTTGATGGACCTACTTCTAAAATTATGCAGACTAAATATGGCTGCGCCCCTTAATCCTAATTCCCATGTTTTTCTGGGACACCCTGTGGACGAAGAAAGTTGCGGTAACAAATTCATGATAAAAGATATGTACGTTGTGAATTATCATTGACATTATCTGTATTTATCTTATGAACATTTTACATTGATATCGTGCATCATCTCCTGAATAAATAATAAGCGCATTCATCTTATATATTTCACGGATTTGTCTACATGATGTACACTATTAATCTAAAAATGATATTCTTATACGAGGAGTCCCAAAAACATTAGAATGATCAATGATTTCACATCATTTTTATTACACTGAATATGTGCTCGCTGAATTAACTGTTCTGTCCCTTTCCAGGCTCCCAGCTGCAGTTTGACCTATTTAACATGATATTCTGTAACAATTTGACCTATTAGGCGGTAAAAATTATATTCGGTCACAATTTGACCTATTAGACTATTAAACACGATATTCTGTCACAATTTGACCTATTAAGCTATTTTAACATGATATTCTGTAACAATTTGATCTATTAAACTATTAAACACGATATTCTGTCACAATTTGAACTTTTAAACATGATATTCGGTCACAGTTTTACCTATTAGACTATTAAACATGATATTTGGTTACAATTTGACCTATTAAACATAGGTTTGTAACTTTTATACTTTTGCCGGCATGAGTTTAAATTAAAGACTTCTAATCAACCACTCCTTAAGTTAAAAGATTGTTGAATTCTAGGCCAACATGTATTTAAATTCAAATTAAAGAAACGAACACATCTCGCCTTGATTAGTTTAGAGTGAGAGGGATAATATCTAGCTCTGGAAGTTATTTTAGGATAAGAATACTAACTCTAAAAACACTCTGAAGCAAACGAGGGCGGTTTAAGGATTTAAGAAAGGGGGGGAGGTAAAAAATATATTTGCGCGAAGAGGGAACAANATAAAAATTCGTGCAAAGCACGAAAAAAATATCTTTACTGCCCCCTGTAATCTTATAAAATGAAATTTACCCCAACCCTCTTTTGCTAAAAAGTTCTATTTACCGCCCTAACCCTACAAAAATTACAGTTTCTTTATAGTATAGGGTAGGCAAATGTCTTAAGAATCCAATTATTTATCTAAAAACTAAATAAAAAAATATTATTGATTGAACTTTATACATTAACATTATACATATCATATCATACTGTTCTAATGAAGGGAGAATTACTTTATATTTCCTGCTATTATTCTTGCTAATTTTTCTGGCAGGAGACCGCAAGAAATTTTTCTTGCAGGAGACTGTAAGAAGTTTCTAAGTTTATTTTTAGAGGTTAAAATAAACAAAAGAAGGCTGAAAGTAAATAAAAGAATTTTTGTTCAAAATATATTTTTTTAAAAAATATTAACATTTATTCCAATCAACAACAGTTCAGTTTTCCTGGGCCGCTTGAAACAAATGCATTTAAAACATTGATTTCCGAAATCGAGGCCAGCCTCTTTGGGTGTATCGCAATTCTTCCCAGGTCGACCGACCTGTCGGTGGTCATAGATGACCTGTTCAATGAGAGCACTGAGCGATATTTACATCACAAAGTTTCAGTGGTCGATAAAAATTTGATAATTTTCGAGTTTTGATATATATATATATGTTTATTTTTACAATGTTGTCACTTTCAAGTTTATTTATATAAATATATAAATAAAAACTATAGTTTAAATGAGAAATGACTGAAACTACCATTGGAAGCAAATAACGTTTTTCTTCTAAATCATGTTAGTTTTTGAATTTTTCTAAATATTCTTTTTTACTCTCCCATTTTATTTTAAACTTATTTTGATCATTCTGAACCTCCCCCTATAGGTTTTCAGGTTTTATTCATAAGATAAACATGAATGCTTATATGCATAATCATATGCCTAAAGAAGATAAATTAAACTATTAATATAAAGTAGTGTGTATATACTGTAAATTATACAACCGTCGTTTCTGGAATCTTGATTAGAATTTATTTCTTTAAGCGCAAAGCAAAAACCATAGGTGTACTTAAGGGGGCTCAAACCCCCCCCCCCCACCCCAACCCCCGGATCAGCAAAATCTATAATTTCCAGGCCAGGAAACCGAGTCCCTCCCAGAAAGGGAAAATTGTATGCCCCCTGTATACGCCCCTGGTAAAAACTAGGCCAAAATACCAGGAGTGGGGATGGGTCATTATCAAGATTAAATAAATTTTAATCTATTATACATTCGTGTTGTACAGGGTGTCCCAATAAACATGCGAATTCAGTGACGAATTCGATATCGTCTTTTTAGATAATTCTTTGATTTAGTATATGTGATACCTACTGAGAAAGCTGTAATCTGTAAGATTGTCGTCTGCTATGTTCGCAGTTTGCAGGGTGCCCATGACTCGCCTATCCTTGTGGATTAAATCCCCAGAAGTGACATACCTGGGGATTTAGAAACCCCTTCGGAATTTGTAGATATTCTGGGGATTTTTAATATTTTTTTTCTGATATTTCTGATATAAAGTCAAAAATTAATGAAAAACATGTCTGGAAAGAAAGTTTTCGTGTGTAACGTGTATATCTCTTTTAAAGGGGGGGTTGATTTTTACATTTTTTAAAATTTGAATAATTGTCAGTTGGTATTATATGAGTATTGTCTATCTAAACAACTTTTAGAAACAAAGTTTTCTGTAAAATTAATATTTCCCTGAGAAAATTACTTTAAGGGTAGAAAAAAATTACAAATGTGAGAAGTAAATTTTTTTACAAAATATGTCAATCTAAAGATGCCTGAGATTACGCTGATTACTGCCCATTTGTTTTCGTATCGATATCTTGAAAATTGTTTGATCTAGGACCAAAAAACACATTTTTTTGGAATTTTGGCATAATTTTTTGTTGAAATTTGTTTTTTGGCAATTTTTTTCAAAGTATGTAACAGGAGCTCTTAATTGTAAGCAACTGTTTTTTTTCCAAAACTGGTTTTTTTGTGTTTCAGAGTTCACTTCTAAATGAAACTATGCCATTTGCACTGTACAGAGATCTGAAATTGCACAGTTAGAAAAAAACGTTAAAACCTCTCTTAAACCCTCTAAAAAAAGCTGTTTTGTGTAGGAAAAATTGAGGATTTTCTGGGGATTTTATTGTTATTTTTTTTGAGGATTTTTTGTGGATAAAAATTTGCCTTTCAGTGGATTTTTGACAATTTAGAGTTGGGCACCCTGACATTTTGTTTGTTTATTTTTTGACTGCATACGGTTGTACTTAGTAAAACAAGAAAATTGCAGTGTATAAACAGAGTAAACTTGTCCGTCTTCACTGTTCGCTATAGACATTAAAAACACATCTTTACAGTCTTTTACACTTTTCATAACATAAACTCGAGCAGACATAATAATATTATGGCTTTTGAAATTAGGTATTACAATGCTAACTCATAACAAAGACGATAGCTAATTCTTCACTGAATTCCCATGTTTTTGGGACACCCTGTATATATCAATACAAGGAAGACGACTTTCGATTTAAATTTTTTCTTTCTACCGAGCTTTCCAACAACATGGATACATGGATATACACATTAACATGGAAACAAAGAGAGGTCAATTCATAGATTCTTTTTGTATTGACGTCCAACCACTGTATAATGGTAGAAAGTCATGAACAATCACTTTTCCTTGTAAGTTTTCATGATAATTCATAACACTGTATTGGGTGTACTGAACTCACTAATCTACGCAAAATATGCATGCAAAGACTTACTTAACTATTATAAGTTATTTGAAGTTAAAGTCTTATTTCTAATTTATTTCTAAACCTAAAAGTTTGCCAGTTTTGCGTTAAAGGGACTGTGAACGTAATTTCAAGTGAACCACCAAATGACAATGCCCAACTTTACAACAGTACCCTTAAAAGCAACATGTATTAATTACACGTGTTTTTTAAACTGTTTATTTTCATTTGCGTGATCTCCATGCTCAAGTAACTTGAGCACTTACAGCTAACCAAGATGTGCAAGCTCGGGCGTAAAAATCAAACAGTATTTTGCCGACAACTATATAAGAGCGTTGAATATTTATATGTATATGTCAATGGCTACCAAAAATTGTAATTAGAAAAGTGATTTAAAACCAAAGGCTAAGGTGTTTCAAAGTTTTCTATTTGACAGTATGCTTATAAGAAGCAAGCATTGGAGAAATTCACGGAAATAAACACTTATCGAGAGAAAAGACGGCGTCTTATACATTTTTCTTATCATATTAAGGTTTCAAGAATGCCGTTATTATTCGAGTGCCATCTTTGTATGGAGGGTCTTACCAATGTGAATAAATGGTATTGCTTCACTTTGGGGTCTCTTAACTTACAGTCCCTGTGAATTATCAAATTTTGTTACATTTTTTTGTTGTATCTTAAGCAAATCAACTGGGTCTTAACCATTGAAGAACATATTTTGTGAAATGAAAGTGCGCACGTGGAAAGGATTTAACAGGAAGAATGTCTTATTTTGAAAATTTTTGTATTTTCCAGTAAACTTTTTCCATTTAAAGAGACATGCCTGGTTCACTCTTCAAATCCGAACCCTGTTAACTTTTGTCAGATCAATAGATTTCGTCTTTTGTGAAGATTGTGTTCACTGACATGATCTTCCCCATTTATCCTTTATTAATAAAAAAACATAAAACAAGGTTTTATGGGTACTATTGTGAATCGGTAATGCCACTTTATTAAATATTTAGTTTTCTACAAGTATATATTTTTCACATTAATAACATATACAGCATACACACAGTACACATTAAATTACTAAAATCTTATTTCCAAAATTAAGAAAATATGTTTACTTCTAAAAGGCAGACACTATAAGTCTCTAAATACTATATTACCCAGGTAGAATTAGAAACCCCCCCCCCCCCATTTACGTCGTACCTTTAATAAAGCCTTAATTCATAATAACCTCTGACATATCAAATCAGATTTAAGTTTTTTTTTGTAGTAGAACGTCTAGGTCAAACAACCATAGACAGGTTTCTTGTGTACAATGATAGAAAACATAATAAAATTGGGCGCATAAATTTCCGACAATTTTTATCAAAACAGAAATTTCACAGATAACCTAATATGTTGAATTTATCATTATTTTCATGCCTTCATCAAAAAAAATTATCATCCAATTAAAGTTCTTTAATAATCTTATGAACTCACTTTTTAGTAAACACACATTCTAAAAATATAGAAGAACTTTTTAACGCATATAATTTTCAGTAAGTCAAGCTGTTAACAATTCCGATTTTTAATCTAATATTATGGATTACATGAAATTAGTTTTTATATCAAATTACAAAATGTAAGAAAGTAATACTATCTTGGCATTACACTATCCTTCAAGTCGAATTACAAAATTTTTCAAGATTGGCATAATGTTGACATATTTAACACATATTTTTGTTACATAGTATGTAAATACAATATTTATATCCCTACAAACTGCAGAGATATATGAAAACCTATTTTAGTTATTTTGATTTCACACGGAACACTTAAATTTTTTTTACAGGTAGCTCCAATAAACAGACTAAGCTAATTCTTAATTGTTTGAATCAGTCTAAAATACGCTATTATGTCTCATATTTATAGGAACTTACTGTAGGCTGGAATCTACGCTAGCGTGTTATGCTACGTTCAACTCAGTTTCTGAGTTTAGAAACCGAGCGTTGAAGTCTGAGCGCTGACTCCGCGGATATGATTGGAAGGTTGTTGTTCCTGTGATACTCAATAAGATGAGTAACACTGGAGAATGTTCTATCCCTGGTTCTGACTATACCCTCAGGGTCAACCAGGAGTAAATGCTTTCTGCTGGAACCCTGCATACCGGTCAGAACATACTGACCTTTACTACCCTATACACAACATATTGTTAACAAGGTTGTATTATAAAAGAATGTGCTTAGGATCCATTTCATTTTGATTTGGATCCGGATCCAGGTAAAGAACAGATAATATTTCTGTAAGATTTACGATGCTGCTAAAATTTGAAGAATCGTTCAAAGATCCAGAAATTTTTTAATCATCTCTCTTTTTTCAACAGTTGAGATTTGGGATCCAAACCTGCATATTTTTGCGGATCCGAATCCGGGCAGCCAAATATCCAATGGATCATGATCCTGAGCACTGGTAAAAATTGAACTGAAAAGTAAATGTTTCGAGCTTATACGTACAACAAAATTGATAATTGATAAATAAATTTAAACAGGTTAAGTTTGCTGACTTGGATACGATAATTGACTTATTTATCTACGGTGGGACCCATTAAATTGCGGAAAATGAAGACGACTGTCAGACTCAACTTAACATTTTAAATAATCTAATTAACATTAAACACAAAAGTTGTGCAATATACAGTAAACAGTAACACACTACCGGACCCAGTATACTTAATAAATTCTTTTTTTGTTGCTAAAGGTGAAACTATTTTCTTTATAACAACATAAAAGTATCTAAGATTGGATGAATGTCGTTTAATGAGCCCCACTGTAAGAATTATAAAATGGTTCAACCTGTGATTCTCTGACCAGGAAATCCCCATCTTTCTTTAGTAAACATTCAGCATCCTTCCTAAATAAATAAGATATATGATGCTGTTAAATAAAAATATAAAATGATTCAATAATGTAATGCTAGCTTTCAGTTCTTTTCGATCTAGCAGCAAAACAATGGATGCTTTATTACCTAGCTTAACACTTTATCTGGAGAAAGGACCATGAAACCATTCGTCTAAATCCCTAGCTATTCTTATACCTGGAGATAGGACCATGAAACCATTCCTCTTCCCCAAGCTATTCTTATACCTGGAGATAGGACCATGAAACCATTCCTCCTTCCCTAGCTGAGCTCTCATCCCTGAGCTGGTAATAGGTGTTGGGGTAACAGGTGAGGGTATACCCCCTCCAGGAGGGTTTAGAGCAAACGGACTCATGTCGAACGGATCTCTATGCCGACCAGTTCTCTGATCCTGAACAAAAAAGGAGTTTAAAAATTGTCTATTTCAATTCTTTCAAAACTTCATTCGTTCAAAATTCGAGTTTATAATTTGACAATTCCCCAGGGAGAAGAGAAATCAATTTTAATGAAATGGAAATCAAAAGGCAAGTTCTTTCATCCTTTTCATCCTGGATCTGGATCCGCAAAAATGTCCGGATCCAGGGGCAAAATATCAACCAAAACAAAAAACGTTGTTCTCCAAACACAAAATAAAATGATTGACTAATAATATATTAAAAAAAATTTCCAAATTCCTGAATGGAAAAAAGATTTTTTTTTGAAAATACATGTTAAAAAAAATCAGTAAATCCGTAAGAAATGTTCAAGACCTGTATCCGGGTTTGGATCCGTACTTTTGGAATTAATTTGTTACATAATCAGTTCAACTCTACCTTTCCTTAAAGCAGGACCTAGGTCTTTGCAGAGGCGCTTCTAATACTAACTAGAAGTACAGGGAGACAGAGAAAAATGGCAAATCCAGGTTAAATGTACACACATAAGAAACTTAAGGAATGAAGGGAAAGAGGAAACTCAGATTAATCAGCAAGGAATGCCCGCATTCATCTGTCAACGCTCTATTACCCTGGAGAACAGAGGTTTTTACCTCTCTGGGTCTAGGCTTGCTATGGAAAAGCTCGACTTGCACTTCTTAGAAACAGGTCTTGTGAGCCAATTTTTAAGTAAAACCTACAAACCGTGGAAACATGTAAATATCCATCAACTACGGACCTTCCTAATGTGGATAAGCATCAAGTATTAAAGTATAATTTACAAGTACTGCCCAAGATGTTCTTACACATCAGTTTCAAGAGTCCAGCTGTTGATAATCTACTCTAAGCCAAAACTCCTTTTATCATATTTGTCATTATTTATCAGTGAAGATTCTACAAATTTTTTAAATTCCACGTTCGGTGCCATGTTTCTTTTTCTTTCCCCACCCTGCAAAAGAGCAAGAAAACATTAACATTAATTGTGTATGGATCTAAACTTAGTATTGTACTTTAACATTCAACAATCTACAAATCTGCTGAGAAAGCAAATATCAAATTCCAGAAAACTTGCAAGGGTTATTATTTCATGATTGTTCATGGGTTCAGTGTCAGCAGCTGAAATATTGAATTTAGAAACATATAATAAGCTAAACTTCCTTGTAACAAACCAGAAATATCAGACAGAAGCAGAGATTAGTAGAATTCTGAACCAATGAATAGATAAGAAGAATGACTATCTCTAATACCAATTATTTTGAAAATATCAAAAATAAATGTTGGGGAGCTGTTTCCCACTTGAGGTTTACAGGGTCCCAGGGCCCCAAGAATTCCAAAATGGGAAAAATTCAAATACTTAGTACAATTAGAAGAATTTGGTACAATTTTGTAATTAAAAACCTTTATAGAAGGAAAAAAATGTTAACAAAAGCACTGCTTTTTACCCAACAATTAGTCATTTATTTCTCCTTTAAAATATTACACCGAACATCTGGGGGAAAACCAATGTTCAAAAAGGGGAAGGGGGAAAATGTTTAAAGAAAATATACACCCCTATATTACTGTGTACTACCTGTATCTCTCCGTTAGTATACTCTGGAGCGTATGGTATCTCTGTATTAAAATCTATCAGGTTGGAGGAGGGCGGAGTCTTCCCAGGCAGATCGTTGTAGTATTCCACCTCGTCAGGTAGGGGGGCGTGTCTTAGGGCGGGCAGAGGAGGTGGGCGGGACCCTGGGGTCTTCTTTAAAAATTCTTTAAACCTTAAAATTGAAAACCATTAATAATATTATGAAAGGAGTTCAGCCGGTTTATCCCATTTGACAGAAGTTTACGTATTGCAGGAAAAAATACCTGAAATGTAATCTTTTTAATAAACCGTAATATAAAAAGTTGAAGACGACATGTACAATATTTATAATATAGAGAACTAAAAGTCCACATTCCTGAGCTTGAATATTTATTACCTAAGTTCAAATGCCTGTCCTATTGTAGTAATAACATCCTGAGCTAGTCCACCCTCGCACTCCAGAACATAGCAAGCTCTGAATAAATCAATTCAATTAAATCAACAGCCTGGAATATAGAAGAAACTAAGAAATCTAGGTCATTTCCCAGAAAACAATTGCATCAACCCCCCCTCATTGACAATACTTCCTTCTGAACTAACCTTGGCAACATAGGCAATATAATCAAGACTAATCTTCCTTCTGAATTATCCTTGGCAACATAGGGAATATAATCAAGACTATACTTCCTTCTGAACTATCCTTGGCAACATAGGGAATATAATCAAGACTAACCTTTCTCCTGAACTATCCTTGGCAACATAGGGAATAAAATCAAGACTAACCTTCCTCCTGAACTATCCTTGGCAACATAGGCAATATAATCAAGACTAACCTTTCTTCTGAACTATCCTTGGCAACATAGGCAATATAATCAAGACTAACCTTCCTCCTGAACTATCCTTGGCAACATAGGGAATATAATCAAGACTAACCTTTCTTCTGAACTATCCTTGGCAACATAGGGAATAAAATCAAGACTAACCTTCCTCCTGAACTATCCTTGGCAACATAGGGAATAAAATCAAGACTAACCTTCCTCCTGAACTATCCTTAGCAACATAGGCAATATAATCAAGACTAACTTTCCTCCAGAACTATCCTTGGCAACATAGGGAATATAATCAAGACTAACCTTTCTTCTGAACTATCCTTGGCAACATAGGCAATATAATCAAGACTAACCTTCCTCCTGAACTATCCTTGGCAATATGGGCAAATATATTAAAGACTTACCTTCCTCCTGAATTATCCTTGGCAACATAGGCAAATATAATCAAGACTAACCTTACCCATAAACTATCCTTGGCAACATAGGCAATATAATCAAGACTAACCTTCCTCCTGAACTATCCTTGGCAACATAGGCAATATAATCAAGACTAACCTTCCTTCTGAACTATCCTTGGCAACATAGGCAATATAATCTAGACTAACCTTCCTCCTGAACTATCCTTGGCCACATGGGCAATATAATCAAGACTAACCTTCCTCCTGAACTATCCTTGGCCACATGGGCAATATAATCTAGACTAACCTTCCTTCTGAACTATCCTTGGCAACATAGGTTTTATAATCAAGACTAACCTTCCTCCTAAACTATCCTTGGCCACATGGGCAATATAATCTAGACTAACCTTCCTCCTGAACTATCCTTGGCAACATAGGGAATATAATCAAGACTAACCTTTCTTCTAAACTATCCTTGGCAACATGGGCAATATAATCAAGAGTAACCTTCCTCCTGAACTATCCTTGGCATCATGGGCAATATAATCAAGACTAACCTTCCTCCTGAACTATCCTTGTCAACATGGGCAATATAATCAAGGCTAATCTTCCTTCTGAATAATCCTTGGCAACATAGGTTTTATAATCAAGACTAACCTTCCTCCTAAACTATCCTTGGCAACATGGGCAATATAATCTAGACTAACCTTCCTTCTGAACTATCCTTGGCAACATAGGTTTTATAATCAAGACTAACCTTCCTCCTAAACTATCCTTGGCCACATGGGCAATATAATCAAGGCTAATCTTCCTTCTGAACTATCCTTGGCAACATGGGCAATATAATCAAGGCTAATCTTCCTTCTGAACAATCCTTGGCAACATAGGTTTTATAATCAAGACTAACCTTCCTCCTAAACTATCCTTGGTAGCATATGAAATATAATCAAGACTAACCTTCCCCCTGAACTATCCTTGGCAACATAGGCAATATAATCAAGACTATCAGAGTCTCCACCGCTGGCAAAACTGATCATTGGCATTTCATGTTGCAGCAGTACACTTCCATTATCTAAATCTAAACAATAATAATAAAAAAAACCAAACAATTTTTTCCAATTCTTTTCTTTGAAAACTTAAATGTTAGAAAAGGGGAAAATATCTGAAACGTAAGATTAGTAAAAATTATAAAACCTCTTAATGAACAACCAAGAATCCAACTTTAATATTAGATCTAAGTAAAAGAAATGAAGAGCCCCCCCCCCCCTGGGCAAAATATCAATAAAACTGAAAAAAAGTTTTTTTCTGAACATATATCTCAAAAGTTGGCTAATGTCGGATTGGTAAAAAATATAAAATCTCTAATTGCAAAATTTCTGCAAAAAAAGAGCGATTAAAAATTTCAAATTTTTTTTAGTTGTTTCCAACGCATACCTGATAATCTGAGACAAAGTGAAGTAATAGTTAACTGTACATTAGCTCCACTCCTAGATACGACCACCCTATCCCCCAGTATACTAGATATCCTTCTATCCACTCTTCTCCTTCTATCCTCTATCTATCATAAATAATAGTTATCTCCACTCCTGGTTGAAGGAGGGAACCCCCGGACGCCATGCAGAAACGAGCCTCCATGATTTGATATGCTGACCGAGCCTTCACCATGCAGTGAAAGCCTCCGCTATGCAGAAACGAGCCTCCGTACAGCAAAGCTTCCTTTTAACTCTTGGTTTTTACATGTAATATAGAATTTTTTTCATTTATTCAACATAGTGACATAAGAATTTTACTTGAGATTCATGTTGTTTATTAATTGTCATGATTTGCAACTTATATTGACCCATAAAGTTGTTTATAAGATTTATGTTTTACAATAAAACATTTCTTACGCAGTAAGAAGGCTATCTGAACTTAGTTTATTTTGTTTTAATCTTTGATTTATGCAATACCTTTTTTGGGAAATGTATTTAGATTTAGAATATTTGTCAATGTCAGATTTTGATTGTAGATTATAAAATATCAAATAATATTACTTTATTCTCTAATGTTTTCCTTTCTGCGTAAAAAATGTTTCAAGTTTAATAAACCATTTTAATAGTCATAATTAGTCACTATTTATAATAATTGATTAATACTTCTGATTTTTGTTTAACTTTTTATGCCACTATTTCGAAAAAATTACAAAAATTACTTTACTACAACCAAGAGTTTTAAGGAAACTGTTCTGTATAGCGGAGGCTCAGTCTGACTAGAAAATCTAGCAGGATCGTGTCTGCACAGCGAAGGCTCATGGCGTCCGGGGGTTCCCTCCCTCCTTGGATACAACCAACCTATCAACAACACCGGAAACTCCGGTTTAATTCAAGTACAGGGCCGACTTTGATTCTGCTAGAGCAGGCGTACAGTAAACATAAAAAATAAAAAATAAAAAATAAAATACCGTGGGTAGACAGTAGACCCCCAATATATGTTGGATCCCCAGACCGCCATTGGACGTTATTATATGCCCACTGCCCAGTATATTGGAATATTCAAAGATTTGTTTAAATCGAATAGTATAATCTTCTGTTTAAATGTTTCTCTTAGAATTTATTTAAAGCAACGTCCAGCCGAATTTAATTTTAGATGTTAAGGTTAAAAGAAGCAAACGGTGGTAGGAGATTATACCAATATAATGAAAACGACTTTTTAAGACAGATTCTCTTTGTTTCCATGTTTTTGTGTATCCATGCTGTTTAAAAGCTTAATATAGATCACAATTGAAATCAAAAGTCGTCTTTATTATATTGATATAATCGCCTACCACCGTACTAGGACGGATCCAAATACTGTAAAGAAACGAAATTTAATTTAGTTCTACCATGTAAACTAATTCCAAATTAATTTCAAGTTCAGATTTGGAGTGTGGGTGGGGGGGGGGGGGTTAATTTGTTAAGGTAATGCATAAGGTTCTATTATTACCTGGTGTTCAGACAAAGATTGACTCTCCTCACATACTCGACTAATACTCTCCTTGGCAATCGCAGACCTTGTGTCAAAATCCAGGATTTTCATACTTGTCAATACATTGAGGTGTCCGACATACCGTACAGCGTAGTTTATTCCATCCTACAGTACAGTACATTAGGTTCGTTGTCGGCATAAATGTCGGGAATAATAATAATAATAATAATAACCTTAGCGAATAGATGGTCTGAATGCAACCACCCCCTGGGAGGTTTGTTTACAAAACTAGGAGGAACCTGTGCTCCAGTCATTTTTAAAACTTCATTTTTCTAACAAACACAAACACAAATTACATTAAAAAAATAGATTTTCCGCTTCTTAGTTATTTTCATGATTATACATTTTCGGATTTTGTTACTTGTAAAATTTGTCACACTAGTGGTCATTTTTGGTGATTTCGTAAATCACTGCTGATTATGATGCTATCACAGGTGAAATCACTGAAGATTACATTGAATCAAGGAATGGTGATTATACTGAAATCACTGAAGATTACATTGAATCAAGGAATGGTGATTATACTGAAAACATTGAAGTATTGAATGTGATTGAGATCATAGATTAAAAAGGCACTTGATAATTATCACAATGGTTTAATGCATAATTTATATAGGTTTAATGAGTATATTGATATGATTGACTGAATAGATGGATTCAACCAATGGTTGAGCGGAGGTTTAATATTTGTGATTAAACTTGATTTTGGCGAGATACTTCATCTTGATCTGCTTAGTATCGTACACGATGTACTCGTTGTACTGCAGAGTCAACTTCTCCTTCTTGTCCACATTAGTTTTCCTGAATTAGAATAGTCGATAAAAAAATTTAATTCCAAAATACCGTAAACATATTTTAATAACATTCTTCCAGAATCTTAGTGATTCATATCAGATCAGATCAAATCATGAGTTACAGAATTGCTGGTGCCTCCCCGTTTGATTTAATGATTATTTTTTAGAAAACTAATTGTCAAATCTTTTCTAAGCAAATCGAATGCCCAATACCAATTTTTCCTGCAACTTGAAACTGAAAATAGTATTTATTTCTCTATGTCTAACCTAGGTATTCCTCCTGGAAGTTGAAGACCGCCTCCTAGTTGCTCCCAACCTCCAGGTTCCATCTTACCAGCTCCAAGTACACTGTTGTACCCTTTAGGGAGCTTGTCAGCGTTATAATCAGCATCCTAGATTTAATTGCAGCGTTATAATCAGCATCCTAGATTTTATATCAGCGTTATAATCAGCATCCTAGATTTAATTGCAGCGTTATAATCAGCATCCTAGATTTAATTTCAGCGTTATAATCAGCATCCTAGATTTTATATCAGCGTTATAATCAGCATCCTAGATTTTATATCAGCGTTATAATCAGCATCCTAGATTTAATGTCAGCGTTATAATCAGCATTCTAGATTTAATGTCAGCGTTATAATCAGAATCCTAGATTTAATGTCATCGTTATAATCAGCATCCTAGATTTAATGTCAGCGTTATAATCAGAATCCTAGATTGAATGTCAGCGTTATAATCAGCGTCCTAGATTTAATGTCAGCGTTATAATCAGCATCCTATTATTTAATGTCAACGTTATAATCAGCATCCTAGATTTAATGTCAGCGTTGTAATCAGCATTCTAGATTAAATGTCAGCCACTATGCAGACTGGTCAGGATCTTCTGATAAGGAACTGATACTTTTCTAGTTTTAATCGTTTTTAAACATTTTTGAATTTCACTTTATCTTTTTTTATTTAGAGTTTAAAAGAGATGTCATCCTCATTTTGGGATAAGGAATACAACTAAAGCTATGTTACCACTCAAAATTCTTTCTGAGGTTCAGAATAATCAAAACTAGTGGAAATTTAAATCGAGATTTTTTCTCTTTAATATATTTACGAACAAATGTTCATAAGGTGAACAATTATCAGGTCTATCTGTCTGTGAGGTCTGTCTGTCTATCAGGTCTATCTGTCTATATGTCTATCAATGAAATAAATATTACCAGTAATGTATTCTGTTTGCCAAGAGCCACCTCACAAATAAGCAGAAGACCAATATTCTGGGATCTAAACACGATTAATATTGAACAGATTATACTGAAACTGGGATTTGAGGATGCGCTTATGGTCATATGTTTCATTTGCAACGTTGATCTTCAGTAAATTAGGACAAACTTATAGGTAATGATAATAATATTTTAGATTGTTAAAGGGACCGTTCACTTATTTGGGTAAATTGAGGGTAAACTAAATTACCCATTAAATATTCATTGGTATTAGTTTTACTTTTCTAAGGCAACTATGGCAGGAGAAAAAACCGATTTTTCGTTCAAAATTCCCGCGCAAAGGTATGGTACCTTTGCATTTACACTATTTGATGCTTTTTGTCATAGTCATGGATTTTCAAAAATTTTCAAATATTAAATTAAACTGTATGTAGTATCTAATAGTTAATTGTAAATATCTTTAATTTTTTTCAAAGTAATTTAAAAATTGTATATTTTGAAAATATAACTTATTTGAAACATTTGACGGAATGCTACGTTTTCCCTACTTTGTATAAACGTGTTAAATCATGTTTGAACACGAAAAACTTTAATTTCTTGCCAATTCTAAACTCAAAAGTTATCCTATTTTATTATATAATGGCTGACACATGGTGTCATTGAAATATGATAATTTGAGATTTACACTCAGCTCTTATCTGGGTTGAATTATTGGAATTTAAACGGAAGGGAGCTCAAGCCTACAATCATTGATTGAACAATTGACACCGATTATTATTATTATTGGGCTGCTGTTACTGAAAAAAACGTTTAAATAGTGTCAATGCGAAGGTATCGTACCTTTGCGCTGGAATTCTAAATGATAAATCGGCTATTTCTCTGGTCATAGCTATCTTTGAAAAATAAGACTAATTAATACCAATTAATAGCTACTAAGCTATCTAGTTTACCATGAAATCACCCAAATAAGTGAACGGTCCCTTTAATGGAACATATTGACTTTTTCAAAATATCTTTTAAAGACAAAAATAAGAATGAATGGACTCTGGTTGTGTGAGCTAAATATTGAATGATTACCTGTTAGTAAAACAATAGTTAGCAGATTTCGAGGACATATCTGCGAAGTAAACTCCCTTTCCAAACATATATCCTGTTACAGGGGCCTCGGGCGGAGCTATACGCAGTCCCTACACACAATAACATATATCCTGTTACAGGGGCCTCGGGGGGAGCTATACGCAGTCCCTACAGACAATAACATTATAATCTATGCACTCAGTCTAAGCTCATGGGACCAACAATTTTTAAGGCCTCAAAAGAAAATTAAAAAAAATTGCAGATTTATAAAGTTCAAGAGGGTTTCACAAGAAAATTGAATATCTGGAAAAAATCGAAATCCTTCTTACCGTTCCAAGAATACCGGCCCAGTTAGAGAGCCTGCTTCCATGGTAGAGTAGTTTAGTGTTACCAACATCAATAAACTAAATATTCACAAAATAAAATGATTAATAAACAATTAGCTCGCAAATATAAAATCTAAATTAGCAGTTTGGAAAGTTATAACTAAATTCTTACATCATTAAAGAAATAAATAGAGTTTTGGACGGTATCAGCATGGAATAATTGGTGAATGGTATCAAAATTGAGGGGAGCGATCAGGAATTAGTCTGTGGGGTGGGGTGTATTATTTTTTTCTAGGGGGGTGCTCACTGTTCATCACCCATTGAAGTAAAAAAAAACCTGAAACCATAGATTTAACTGATTCAGGGAGGGGGGCTAAGCCACAATAGCGCCCTCCCCTGAATACGCCTCTATATCAAATGATCTTTAAAAGATTTAGAATTTTCAAGAAAAGTAGGATCATAAAAGTTTTTACCTTTGATTTCTCTTCCTCCTTGTTTATCTTGAAAACATCCAGTATCTCCATGGTATAGTTGGAGTGTGTCGGAGCATGAGTATTTAATATTGATTTCTCAACAGCTTTCCTTTCATTCTCATTAACATCCAGAGCTTTAATATCAACCTATAGACAGATAATAGAAGAAGAACAGAAGAAGATGTAATTATGTGGGAAAAGAACTGTTATTTTTAAAACTTTACATCTGTGCAACATGATGTCGTAGATCTAATATATTTCAAATGTACTCAGCGAGGTCAAAATTTTACACCATCAGGTTGCAAACAAGTAGGGATTACAGTTTTAGGCGTGTTAAGTTCCTTTGGGAGAAAACTGAAACTTCACAAGTTAACACAATGGCTACATGCATGATAATTACAATAAAGCGAACCGCAACATTTTACTAATTTTATAAGTTTCATCAGGAAAAGATCTGAACGCCCACCATAGCTTACTAAAAACAAATAACTAATCCAAAAATACCTTTAATTGGTTATATCTCCTATCTATTGGATTTATAGATGTATCCTGTTCTGTAGAGAGCATCTTTAAAGCAACCTTAAAAAAATCAACAGAAAGTAAAACTTATTTGGAACAAAAATGACATTAATTGCTAAGTTTGCGCTAAATATAAGATTATAACCTGAATATCTGAGAGTGCCTCCAGTAGTTCTATTTTTCTCTTAACTTCAGCATGGGTTCGAATAATGGGAGGAACCTAAACATAAAACAAATCCTTGCAATTTCTAAATTTATTTTAGCTAATTTGTTCAATTAAGGGATAGTGACATAAAGGATTCACAAAATGATGAACTATTAATGAAGTTTGCAGATATTTGTTTACAAGAACATAGAAGAGTTTAATCAGATTCCAAATAGATAATGAAGAGTGACAAGATCTATTGAAGTTAGTTTCAAATTGCGTCCACAATTCAATAAAAGCAAAATAATCTCGAGAGGAAAATACTTTAAAACCTTAAATCCTTGTTGTTGATATTGATAACCATGCACATGTTTAAACCCTGAACCTAAGCTTGAATTAAAAAGTTAAAACTGGCGTTTTTTAGCTATCTTCTCTTCACTTTTGAAAAGAAATCATTATATAGAAATTTTTATCATCAAAGCAAATATATACATTTATTCAACTTAAACATAGAACCGTCAGGTATCCTTGTATAGAAAACGGATATATATATATATATATATACAGTGGTCGGCGTTTATGTTAATACAATGAATTCGACGTTCCTATTTTAAGTTAGGATTTTCAACAAGATTTTTTCAATTGACAACATCTTTTGTTTCAATTTTTATGTGTATCCATGCTGTTAAAAAGCTTGGCAAAATCAAAATCAAAACTTGTCTTTATACTTTATAGTATTGATATATACGAAGACGACTGTATTCACCTTAAACCCGAACTCATGAGGTATCCTTGTATAGAAATCATTGCAGGCCTGGGTTATTTCACCTCCAGATGTTTTCCCTCCAGTGATACAGTCGGATATCTTCTTCAGTGCTTGATATCCAGCTCTTATCTTAACAATTAATTGGATACAACCAGTTGGATATCTACTTCAGAGGTGGATATCCAGCTCTAATCTAAACAATTCATTAGAGAAAACCAGTTGGATATCATCTTCAAAGTTTGATATCCAGCTCTTATCTTAACAATTCATTGCGCATAGAAACAGTCGGATATCTTCTTTAAAGCTTGATATCCAGCTCTAATCTGAACATTTTATTGGATATAAAAACAGTCGGGTATATCTAAACAATTAAATAAATATGAAACTGTTGGATATCTTCTTCAGTGCTTGATAAACAGCTCTAATCTGAACATTGCATTTGATATAAATCATATAACCAGTTTTATATATTCTTCAGAGCTGGATGTTAACCTAGAGGATAAAGGCTGTAATACTAACGTCCACCCGAAAGCTGGAAGACCGACAAATTTAAAGAATTTATCATCTCTAACCAATCTCTGTTCAAGTATTTCAAGAAGTAAAAATTGTTTTCTCAAGGAAGAAATATATTAGAATATTCAAATAAGAGTTAATTGGTTTCTTTAGAAAGGTAAATTTTGATATTAAAAAAGAGTATATTGGGTTCACGTAAAGAAGTGATATTAGAATATTCAAATAAAAATCAAATGGGTTCTCTGAGAAGAAAAACTAAATAAAATAAAATATGTTAAAACCTGTTCTGTTGTTATCTTTCCTAGCGGAGCTTTCTCAGCATCATACTCCATCTCCACCACAGCCTGCTCCATAGTCTTGATATCACAGATCAAACTGATCAGATCTTGAACCCTCTTTTCCAGGGTGGAGTCAGGAACTGGAGTACCAAGTTTACTCTCAGGGTCGGATTTCACCACGGGACCAACACCAGAGGAACCAGCGGAGTCAACACTATCCTGAAATACATATTTAAAAAAAATTAATTCTGATAATTTTTTTTACTCATCACAGAGTTATATTCTGTGAGGCTAGAAATTCGTTTAACTATTACACGGGGCTTATTAATTTCTAAATCTTTTTGTAATTGTGAAATGGGATTTATTATTAAATATGTGATACAAATTTATCAACAGAAGGAAGTGCTTGAAGCTCTAACGGCTGGTTTATGGTACAAAATATTTCCAAATCAGTTGTATTTCCGATCTTCTGGAGCACATTGAACTTGAACCGGTATTTGAACCTGTTTTATAAAAACTGTTGAAAAATTAACCTCTCTAACCTGTCCGCCTGCAGAGTAGTCCATGAGCACCATGTCGTACTTCCCCGGGTACTTCTCGAAGCTGTATCTATCCTCCCACAAGTTCTTAGTCTTATCCTTAACAGTAAAAAAGTAATAATTATGATGATCCAATCATCCAATCGACAAAACAGGATTAAAATATATCCTTTTTGTACACCTATCGTGAAGTGAAGTGGTTTTCAGAAAAGAACAGAATTTAAACAATATTTTTGAGTCGAGATGTTTAAAAAATCCTCTGTTTATACCAGGGTTCCTTCTTCCAAATATATATATATATACCCCCGAGATATTTACCTGGAACTTCTTGGTGAATACAGATTTAGCAGCATCTAGGTCTGAACCTGAAGTTGTCCAACTATTCTGCCCCTTGTATCCAACCCTACCCCACCTCATCCACACAGCATAACTAAATATTCGAAAATTATATCTATATAATCATAAATACAAGATCTCCTTTTTTTGTTACAACAAATCACTCCCCCTTGCATACAAAAGTATTATATGTGTTTAACAAAAAGGAAAAAAGAGTTACACAAACTTTCATCTTAATTTTATAGGAATAACAACAGTTCTTTATTCGTTTAATCAGAGAACAATGTCCCTCAAAACGGTATACGTATTCTCTTCACCTGTTCAAGGATTAAAAATATATCTTTATTTTTCCGATTAAAAATGATTAATTTAACTGTGGGTTCTGCATAACAGTTACAAGAATGCTAAATCGTTTGCACTACCCAGCAAGAAAAACTATAAACGTACTTTTGCACTAAAGTCAGCTGATCAGTAACACTTGTGGCCGCAGCGCCCGGTTCCCAAGCCTGTCCTAGCCGCGGCGCTCGGACCCCTAGCTTGTCCTAGCCGCAGCGTTCGGCCCAAAAATTGTCTTAACCTAACCTAACCCTCAAATAAAACGTTAGTCCGAATGAACGTTAGTGCGAATGTACGTTAGTCAGATCAATCTTTAGTGCAAACAATACAACATCGTTACAAGAATTAAAACAATGCAAGAAAAAGAAAAAAGGACTACATCTACAATCAACATTATTGTTTCTCAAAAACTTCTTCGTTGTGAATCGGAAACGGCCACACTTGAAATTACGGTGAGAGTCCTTCAGTGAATAAATAAAATGAGATCTCCGAAATGGAATTCCCAAAACCACAATTACAAGAGAAGATCAGAAAAGCATTTGTAAGAAAATACCTGTTTCCTGAGTCTGCTTTAAGAAGCTGAATAAGGTAATATTTATTGTTATTATTCTGAATATTTGTTTGATTCAACATTGTATCCCAAACTTCACGTCCCTGTAATTATAAATACTTTTCTAGTAGTTAGTAAACAAAATAAATATTTTTTAACATAGTGTTGTTTAGAATTCCATAATTGTTAAACATGTTAAATTGGTTCAAAAAAAAGAAGATAATTTTCAGAATAAAATTATTTTATTTTATTTTTACTAAAATCTACCTCAGTGTACACATGATAATTGTCCTTGTGTGGGCAGTCTGGGTCCACTGGGGCCAACCCTGAATACACAATTTAGAAAAAAATCTTATGCTTTCATTTTATCTCTTAAGGAACTGTTAAAAGAAGGGGAAAGTTAACCCCCTCCCAAAAACTTTTAAGTATAGGGTTACCCAGTACCCACAAACAAACAAACAAACAAACAGCAAGCGATCAACAATCTTTCCGTAATTTCAGGGCTGTGACTTTGTAAAAAATAACCCTATAGATTAATGTACCAATTGGTTACGACACAAGTCTAGTGTGGTCAACTGTCAAAGTACAGACCAATGACGTACGCCACCGTCCAACTGCACACTAGTCTAGTGTGGTCAACTGTCAAAGTACAGACCAATGATGTACGCCACCGTCCAACTGCACACTAGTCTAGTGTGGTCAACTGTCAAAGTACAGACCAATGACGTACGCCACCGTCCAACTGCACACAAGTCTAGTGTGGTCAACTGTCAAAGTACAGACCAATGATGTACGCTACCGTCCAACTGCACACTAGTCTAGTGTGGTCAACTGTCAAAGTACAGACCAATGACGTACGCCACCGTCCAATTGCACACTAACAACCACCTAGGGTAGTCCATCCGGTACCAACCCAGTTTGAAACTGTCAAAAAGTTTTATTATTAATTGATTGAATAAAAACAGGCTTGATATTTATTCTAAGATTCGACATTATATAACTGGCTACCAGCCAGCCTCCACTAACACTGCAATTTTCCTCTCCCTCTCTATCATGACCGATGACAAAGGATGAGGCTTGAACTTCTTCAAATATGACGATTAAAGGTGAAAGATTTTTGACAAATTTGAGAGAAATCAATTCCCAAGTAGTAAATACTAATGTATTTTTTAATTCTAAGAAACATTTACAAAAGGAATTTTTCGCTAAAATCAAAATTGTACATCGCAAATGGCATTTTGTGAGAAAAAAAACGCTAGTAAGTGTTTTTTTTCTCATGTAAATATAGCGATATGGCATCAAAAGATCCGTCTTTCCAAACCAAACTCAACGGAAAAAAAGTTTTTACAAAATAATGAAAAATAGCCAAGCTGGAACTGAAAAACTGAGGAACAGCCGATTTTGTGATTTCCCTATTTTTTTTACTCCTCCTAGATCGCATGTTTTTGAATATTATTACAAACCTTTGCTGCGTTGAATTATGGTTTGCAAGACGGATCTTTTGATACCCACATCGACATATTTTGAAAAAATTAAAAATCACTTGTATATTAGGGTTTTCAACCACAAATAGCCATGTAAGTTTTGATTTTATCGAAAATTGCTTTTTGTCAATGCCGCTTAAAATTAAAAAAACACAATAGTATTTACTACTTGATTTGTGTTTCATGCAAATATTTCACCCTTAATGACGATCCCAAGCTTAAATTTAGTCATCTACCTTGAATGGCTCATTTAATGATTTTGCAAAGAAAGCAAGAAGTTTATAGTTGCAGGGAATCATGAATTTACGAAAACAAAGAGTATAAATAATTCCTTTCAGTCGTCTCCATAAAAATCTCAACGTTTGTGAATAACCCTGAAGTACGAGTTAAGATTTTGTGAAACTTTAGTTGTAACGAAAAAGTACGCCCTCTAAATCAAAATATAATGGGCTTACTTGGATAAAATATCTCATTGGCATTAACAGGATTTAATCTAGTGTTTAACAATTTTCTGCTTATCTAGGGAAAAATAAGATTTTAAGGAGGTGGCATTGTTATTAACACTCCCCCCCACCCCCAGGTTTATGTCTTTGATTGAGGCATCATGATTTAAGATATTTTAAATGATCTTTATTCTTTACCTTTCCTCACAAAGCTCTTCATAACTGGTTTCATCTCTTTTGCTTCTTCTCCAGACTTTACTTTAGATTTATTAGATTTTTCTTTTTTAGACTTTTTAGGAGGGGAAACTTCTTCTTCTTCTTCTTCTTCTTCTTCAGCAGGGGTTGGGCAGAGAGATATTTTCCCGGTGATTCCTGTTTTCTTGAACTTAGTAGGGACAACCTTCTCTCTTAGAAGGCTTTCTTTTACTCCGTCCTTCTCTCTGAAATTCGACAGTTTAAAATCAAAATTGAGAGCTTTTAGAAAATATAACCAATTCACAACGTATTCATCTAATTTTATCATTTATCATCTTTCGTCAAATGAATTAAACAATTTTTTTAATTGAGTTACCTTCAAATTAGATTAATCTGGAGATGAAAAATGAACATTTCCCAGATTTTTAATTATTTTTTCACAGATTTACTTATTTGATTTTTAAAAATGTTTGACGTCTTCACTCAAGAATTTGAATATATAGACTGATTTTATAAACTTTTTAGAGAGGAAAATGAGATTTTAACCTTCAGTTACCTATTATCATAACCCCCCCCCACACCCCGCAAAAAATCGATTTTTTTCCACCAAAAATAAATTTTGTGAATAAAAAAGCCTTGAAAATATAAGATGCGTACACGAGTAAATTCAGAGATAGAACAAAGATATCTTTCAATGGTAACTCGCTCTTAACACTTTAAAAAATAACAATGTAATTTCAATATTATTATCTCATAAGCTTGACAAAGTATTACCTAATCATATTCACTAAATCATATTTAAATCCATCCAGGCTGACTTCAGAGCTTATATCAACAACCTAAAATTTATTAGTTTGGGTTGATGATTTACCAAATACATCTTGATCATTTTCTTTTAATAAATTTCTTACTTGAAAAAATAAATAAATTTTTAAAAATTTTAAATTGACAATCATTTTGGAAGATGACAAGTATAATTCAATTTTTCTCGGCGTGTTTTATAGTAGTAAAGTTATTTTTCTTTGGATAGATTATACATTTAAATCTTAATCGATCTAAATTGATCTAAATCCATCTAAATTGATCAAATTATCAAATCTATAAGAGAGGATATTAATAGATTAGACGAGTTGAAATTAATTGAATTTACGTATAAAATATTTCTTTGTTATTATTGAAAAATCAATTTGTGCTCTAATATAACCTTTTTTTTACTTTTATCATGCCCTTACTAACATAATATAAATCTGTATTATTAAAATTTTTTCTTCTTTATGTTTTATATGTTATATGCAGCTGACTTGATTTTTTGCTAAATCATCCCACCTGGTTTAATCGAGCAGCAATCCCAGGTTGGAGAGATTTTTCAGTTTCCTTGATAGTCCAGGATACTAGTCCCTCCTCCCCCTCTACTAGACATCTATACAAGTATATATATATATTAGTATTGTAAGATCTTTAAATTCTTGATGTTCAGGTTGAATCTGAAAAATCAGACTTGAAGAAGCACACGAAGATATGTTTGATCTTCTTCTCATCTTTTCCACAACATATAAACGATTGTGTTCTAAATATAAATGGAGACTTTTATTTGTGTTCAACTACTAGAGTTTTATATTACATAGTCCATTTACAATCCTGGCCTAAAAGTTGTATATCCTCAAGCCTAAAAAGCTTTTTTATACTACCTAAAGATGTTAACTAGGAAACCCTTTTATTAAAAAATATATTCAATGGTCTTTATATTTATATTTCGGGGTAACTGCGTTATCTAGTCTTGTCGCTCCAGGTTGTGCAATACTAGGTTTATAAAACATCTCATTTAAATGTAAATGCTGCCTAAACCATTCTCCAAATTTTAAACTCAACTTACGGATGTTCTATAAAAGTGAATCCAGATCGTTCTTGTATTTCAACACCTGACCGGAACTATAAACTAATGAATTAACAGGTGAAAATACTTTCTTAAATAACTTAGAACTTTGAAGTTTATTCGAAACTATTTACTACTCCTACCTCTTAGAACATGTCCTTTCTGATCTACCCTTGCCGTACTCCTGGACGAGTATGATCTCAGCAATCTAACGAGAATTCAATGGAGCAGATTCACACATACAAGCTGCGGATTACCTGACCGCAGACGGAAGCATGATAAACCTGTCGGACTGAACTTAACTACCCGCAGAGCATCTTCCTGCCGGGCATCCTCAGATTGACCACCTTCTACTTGGAGAAGTCCCGTTGGAAGCATCTCATCTGCTTCTATAATCAGGGACTGCTGCTACAGAGCAGAAAAAGGTGAAGAATAAATACGAAACTACTCTCAAGATTGAGGTCTACTGTCTAACTTATTCTTATTTAGATCCAAACATCCGAGTACGTGGACGAGCAATCCTTTTCTCCATGATGATTATATGATAACCAACTTAGCCCTACCTCCTGACTGGATTTATGAAGGTATATAATCAAGTTTCATGTGATCAATGTGAACTTTTAGCGACGAAAATGTGACTCTCTTCACATTTACGTCGTTAATTGTCGTAATCACATCTCTTTTATCACATGACGAGCCTTCATATAAACTCATCTTGTTATTTCTAGTTGTGTACAAGAGACAGCTGGTAAAGATCATCTAACTCTTGAGCTATTAAATTCTCCGGTCTAATTTGTTTGTGTTACTTTAATTCATATATATATTGTTATAACTTATTCACATTTAGCACACCTGGAGCAAATTTTAATGTAAACTTGGCTAATTTTATACACTAGGCTTAATAATACATATAAATAATTTTAATAATCATTTAATATTTATCTAACCCGTGACTGATTTAAATATTTTTCAGTTCACGGGTCTGAGCTCTGTATTGCTCTACCACCAGAAATGAAGTTGCTCCATCATGTTAATAACTGAATAATACTTGCGGATCTAGGTATCGTATTCTGGGAATATGCAGGATACTAGTCCCTCCTCCCCCTTTACTAGACATATACAAGTATATTGTTATCATTTACAGCATCATCAGCAGCAGCTTTAGCCCCTCCCCCTTTACTAGACATATATACAGGTGTATTGGTATCATTATCAGCATCGGCCTCAGCTTCAGCCTCAGCATAGGCCTCAGCCTCAGCATAGGCCTCAGCCTCAGCAAAAGCTTCAGCCTCAGCCACAGCCTCAACCACAGCATTGGCCTCAGCAAAAGCTTCAGCCTCAGCCTCAGCCACAGCCACAGCATCAGCATCAGCATCAGCCTCAGCCTCAGCCTCAGCCTCAGCATCAACCTCAGCATCAGCCACAGCCTCTGCATTAACCTCAGCATCATCATCAAAGAATTATCTAAATCTTAACCTGATAGGTTTACTAGAAGATTTAGCCTGCTGAACCATATCTTTGATGTTGAGTACAAGTTTGGTTCTAGGACCAGCTTCAGCATCAACCTGATTATACAGTTTACAGGAACAACGTTTAACAAGTATCAAGAAGTCAGGTTTGTTAGAAGAAAATATTCCAAGGAAGATTAGAGGAAAATATTCCGAGGTAGATTAGAGGAAAATATTCCAAGATAGATTAGAGGAAAATATTCCGAGGTAGATTAGAGGAAAATATTCCAAGATAGATTAGAGGAAAATATTCCGAGGTAGATTAGAAGATTAGAGGAAAATATTCCGAGGTAGATTAGAGGAAAATATTCCAAGATAGATTAGAGGAAAATATTCCGAGGTAGATTAGATGAATATTGAATATATTTCGAGGTAGATTAGAGGAAAATATTCCAAAGTTTGTTTACCTGTAGTTTACAGAGAACTGCAGCTGAGTTTAATGCCTCTGAGATCTCAGTGGAGTAGGTGGACCAATCCGATTTATCCTATATTCATAGGAATATAATCATAATAGTAATCATAACAGTGATGATGATAGTAATGATAATAGTAATGATAATAGTGATGATAATAGTGATGATAATAGTAATCATAATAGTAATGATAATAGTAATCATAATAGTAATCATAAAAGTAATGATAATAGTGATGATAATACTGATGATAATAGTGATGATAATAGTGATGATAATAGTGATGATGATAGTGATGATGATAGTGATCATAATAGTGATGATGATAGTGATGATAATAGTGATGATGATAGTGATGATAATAGTGATGATGTTAGTGATCATAATAGTGATGATAATGATGATAGTGATGATAATAGTGATGATAATAGTGATGATAATAGTAATGATAATAGCAATGATGATAGTGATGATGATAGTAATGATGATAGTGATGATAATAGTGATGATGATAGTGATGATGATAGTGATCATAATAGTAATCATAATAGTGATGATAATAGTGATGATAATAGTAATCATAATAGTGATGATAATAGTGATGATAATAGTGATGATGATAGTGATGATGATAGTGATGATAATAGTGATGATGATAGTGATGATAATAGTGATAATAATAGTAATGATAATAGTAATGCTTATAGTAATGATAATAGTAATGATAATAGTAATGATGATAGTGATGATAATAGTGATGATAATAGTGATGATGATAGTAATGATGATAGTAATGATAGTAGTGATGATAATAGTAATAATAATAGTGATGATAATAGTGATGATAATAGTGATGATAATAGTGATGATAATAGTAATGATGATAGTAATGATGATAGTGATGATAATAGTGATGATAATACTGATGATGATAGTAATGATGATAGTGATGATAATAGTGATGATAATAGTGATGATAATAGTAATGATGATAGTAATGATGATAGTAATGATGATAGTAATGATGATAATGGTGATGAAAGTAATGATATAGTAAAGATGATAGTAATGAGGATAGTAACGATGATAGTAACGATGATAGTAACAATAGCAATGGCAACAACGACGACGACGATGACGATGACGATGACGATGACGATGACGATGACTATGACTATGACTATGACTATGACTATGACTATGACTATGACTAATTAAAAATATAAAATATGACAATTCTTCTAAAAAATCTGTTCTCCACATTGAGAAATGAATCTTCTGAAACCGTTATTTTTCGCCTAGTGAACATAAATAATAGTGGGGTGGTAGTGTGGAACAAGAACAGTACCTGAAGTTGCCAGATTAGTTTAGTATTAACAGGAAGCAGAGTAATCTTTTCCTCTGAACCTGAGCCTGAAGCAACCATATTTTCTTCCCCAACATCTCCTTTACTTTTCACAGGCTTTTTACGTCCCATCTTAGATCTGAAAAAATATTTGATTAAAAAGGGCGGAATTTTCTTTCCGCTTTCATCCGTGCAATTTTTAGTTTATCCTCCTCGAACTTTTTCCTAAGTTCTTGAATATGATTTATTTTCTCATCCTTCATCTGGTGAGCGTAGAAGTTCTTGAGCACAGTCTTCTTCTTCTTCTTTCGGTTCTTCTTTCCTCTGAGGTTACTTCCTTCCTCAACCTTCTTAGCTTTCCCACCCTACAATATTTTATTGAATGAAATATGGACACTCTAAAAATAAGTCAAAACAATTAATTCATGGAAGTTAATAAATTATCTGACATTGAATTCATTTCATCAATTTACATGACAATCATTTAATATATCAAACAACATGATGTCAGTCAAACAACATATTATAATATTATGCGTAGGAAGAAAGTGTAATAATCCAAGTTAGTAAAGTAGTAATATTATACCACATTCTTGGGGGATTTATACACATTCACACTTTCCAGAATTAATTTGTTAATTCTTATCTTAAACTGAATTATATCTCACTTTCATTTAATTTTATCAATAATATAATGAGTAAGTAATTTTAATCCTGTTTATTTTTAGAGACATTTTTATAGAATAAAAGTATGACTGTTAGTTGATTAATGTTATGTAGTTCTTGGCTCATTTTATAAAAATATAATTTCATGCTTCAATATTTGAACAATTTAACCTACTTATCATTTATCAACATTAAAATTGTCTGTCCAGGGTAGAATAGATAGAATTGAAATCTGTATGCCATTTTGGATCTTCGAATTTCTGTGTAGTTTAGATGCTTTCTTTGCATGAGCTTTAATCCTCCCAAGTAACGCTTAAACAACTTCATAAACTTTTAGTATTTCAGACTTGGAAGTGTTACTCAGGAGTGTAGAGCTCAGTGAAGCAGATCAGAAACAACTTGAAGAAGGAGGCGCTTTAGATCCAAAAACTTTCAGTAACAGAACAATTGAAAATGAACATTTAATGAATGGATCAAATATGTAAAAGAAGTGGAATTTCGGCATTTATAGTCAAAGATTCTTTGTCCGTCATCTTAAAGATTATTTTTTTTAAATTCATATTTCTTGTTTTTTGTTTTCAATTCGTACTTCTATGTTTTCTTGAACTCAGTTCGATAGTTTTCTTTTTTTTCCCTCTCAATTTTTTAGCTTATTATTATAATTTTCCTTTTACTGTGGTAAAGAAGAATCCTTTCAAAGAATTTTATCAAAAAAGGATGGATTAATAGTTTAACATATACAGAATTGTAAATAATTTTTGCTCATGAAATTCTTTTTACATCCTTAAAAAAAGGAACAGATTTTTTGTGTTATTTTTTCAAAATATGATATTTGCTTTATTTTAAGCTATTTTTCATTCTTGCCTAATTTATTCATTTAAAAATGGATTGAAATATATGTCGAAAAAACCAAAATTAAAAGGTAGTGTTTTGCTTCAATTGACAAAATTACGATTTAGAATTTGCATGATTATTTTACCTTTGTCGTCTGTCCTTAAAATATAATTAAAATGTTTAAATTACTGCAAGTGAGATGAAACTAAAGGTGTCTGATTAGACCAGAATTTAAAAATAGGGAATGTGTTATGTTTTTAAGAGTAATTTAATATTTGGTTTAGTTTCTAGTATTTAATAACTGATCTATCTATCTATCAATTAATACATCAAAATATCAATTAATCAATCAAATATCATGAAATCAACCAATATATGAATTATTCTATCAAGCGTTCTAAATATATTACAATTGACTTACCATTTTATTCATTAAGCCTCACACCCCATCTCTTTTTCTTTAAAAATAATTTTTCCTTATGTTAAAAATTTAGGTTTTTATCCCCGTCGAATTGAGGAAAATAAAGAATTTTTAGTGGGAAATAATTGATTTTTAGGGAAGGAGTATTAAAATCTTGCCTTTTGAATTTCCAATTTTTCATTTTTTTACCCAATTTATCAAAAATCATAGTAATTCTTAAAATCATGTACACCCCTATTGATCAATCAACCAATCAACCACAGACAAGATGTCAGATAAAAAAAACATTTTTAAGAATTACAGTTCAGAGTTCAGATGTATCATCTGTTCTCCAAGTAAGTACTGTTTGACCTGTAATTTACTAGATTTAGTGACTGTAGTCCAACCCTCGTCATCCTCCTCCATCATGTTCTCCTCCTCAACCTTCTTCCTCGCGGACTCAGCGTCCCACCTCGTCATATAGTCCTTCACATCCTCAAGCAACAGCTTCCGGTCAACTATCTGGAATCAATCTATCAATCAATCAGTCGATTTATTAATAAATCAAATTTGAATCTACGTTAATTGAACAGAAAAAAACCCTGAAATCTATATATATATTTTGCTGGTCTAAGTCTGTCTATTTATTTGTTTTTATCCATTAAACGTCAAAACGACTGAACCGATCGTGCTCAAATTTTGTGTGGGGCCTAAAATGACCCTAGGGAAGGGTTATCGAAATTGAGAAAAAACATTCCTGGAAAATCGTGGGATTTTTTTTTTGAAAATGCGCCAATTCAAAAAGGAAAATCCGCAAAAATTTGAAAATGATTAAAAATGGCCGACTTTCAGAACCACAGTTAAAAGCTAAAATTATTTACAGGAAAGGGGTCGCAAAGCGCCCTAAAAGCCTAGTAACTTTACAAATGGAACACATCTGAGGCCGAATTTAAAGAATTTAAACCGCTAAACCGCCATAAGCGGTTCCAATTGAGCCCCGGCTCAAATCTCGAAACACTGAATACAATTTCAAGTGAAACCAACCATGTTTGAGCCGCTCCAGATTAACATAATTGATAATTTTATCTTCTGATACTTGATGAAATGACAAGACTAACTCTGCTCAGAGTGTTTTGTGCATTTATAACTGATAAGAGAAAAGTGTTTATCTTTATCGATTGCAGTATAATAGGTCCGTAAACAGCGAAACAAATCCATAGATAGGAAAAGATATGTTCTGTGTACAGACGGTAGACTCTAAGCTTAGAAAATAACTGCTGTCAAGGTATATCATCAGAATGTAGAAACTAATTTTTGCAACGAATGCAAATGGATAAAAGGTCAGTGAGTTTTAATTCAAAATTTAAAATAAATTTGTGAATATTTTCTTCAAAAACAATTGTATTCCTCCATGAGTGTAGTAGTCTTTTTTACTGAATTAAATAATTTTGAATTTAAAAAGAAACTCTTATCAAGGGTCATACCTGACTATTATACTCCCGCATCCACTTTCTGAGCCCGGTGATAATAGGTTTCTCCTTGGTGCTCGCCACCACCACCTTACTCAGGTCCATCCGAGTCATGCAGTTCCGTACACTCGTAGGACGCTCAAATACAATATACGCAAACTGAAACATTAAGAATTTGTTTACTGTAAATATGAGGCTCAAACTCAATTCTTAATTTTAGAAGCATCCCTAATTTATCCTTGAAACCGGTTCCTGTTCTATTCCTTGCTTTCCATGAAACATCCTCATATTCTGTCCTTATTTACCTTGCAACCTGTTCTTACTCTAGTCTGCAGTCCTTGTTTTCCTTGATACCAGTTCCTATTCTGTCCTTAATTACCTTGAAACAGGTTCCTACTCTGTCCTTGTTTACATTGAAACCGGTTCCTATTCTGTCCTTGTTTTCCTTGATACCAGTTCCTATTCTGTCCTTGTTTACATTGAAACCGGTTCCTACTTGTCCTTGTTTACCTAGAAACCAGTTTCTATTCTGTCCTTGTTTTCCTTGAAACCAGTTCATATTCTGTCCTTGTTTACCTTGGAACCGGTACCAATTGTCTCTGTTTACCTTGAAACCGGTTCCTACTCTGTCCTTGTTTACCTTGAAACCGGTTCCTATTCTGTCCTTGTTTACCTTGAAATCTGTTTCTACTTTAGTCAGTAGTCCTTATTTATCTTGAAACCAGTTCCTACTCTAGTCAATGTTTATCTTAAACCGATTCCTATTCTGTCCTTCTTTACCTTGAAACCGGTTCCTATTCTGTCCTTGTTTACCATGAAACTGGTTCCTATTCTGTCCTTGTTTACCTTGAAACGTGTTCCTATTTTGTCCTTGTTTACCTTGAAACCGGTTACTATTCTGTCCTTGTTTACCTTGAAATCTGTTCCTACTTTAGCCAGTAGTCCTTGTTTATTTGAAACCAGTTCCTACTCTAGTCAATGTTTATCTTAAAACCGGTTCCTATTCTGTCCTTCTTTACCTTGAAACCGATTCCTATTCTGTCATTGTTTACCATGAAACCGGTTCCTATTCTGTCTTTGTTTACCTTGAAACCGGTTCCTATTTTGTCCTTGTTTACCTTGAAACCAGTTCCTATTCTGTCCTTGTTTACCTTGAAACCGGTTCCTATTTTGTCTTTGTTTACCTTGAAACCGGTTACTATTTTGTCCTTGTTGACCTTGAAACCAGTTTCTATTTTGTCCTTATTTACCTTGAAACCGGTTCCTATTTTGTCCTTGTTTACCTTGAAACCGGTTCCTATCCTGTCCTTGTTTACCTTGAAACCGATTCCTATTCTGTCTTTGTTTACCTTGAAACCGGTTCCTATTCTGTATGGATCTCTAAGTAGAGGAAAGAACTTGTGTGAAGGTTTAGTTCCTGGACCTGCTGATGGTTCAAACTCCAGGTATATCTCCTCTATACTACCATTCAACTAAACACACCATTTAGAAGTCAAACTCAAGTTTATGGATATACTCTATTTATGAAAGTGTATTTGAGTCATAAGGGACAATATGGTTTATTAATCTTATGTCTGCAAGTATAAAAAACTTTTAATGTTAACATATGAAAAACATTTTAATGCTTGTTTGTTGTGTAAATCAAATACCTAATAATATTCTATCATGGATTCTTAGAAAATGTGTTAGATTTCAAATTTACGAAAGTACTAATTTGTAAAAGGAATCTGGAATATAAATAGAAATCCAGAATGATATATTTTTTTAAATAAGAATAAAAGAAATATCCCAAAATAATTACTAATTAATAATAATGATAAAAATAACTAACTTTAAAAATTTAAATTCGAGTATGAACTAAATTTTTTTTTATCATTTTTTTAATATTCTTTTATTTTCAAAATAAAAAAGTTAAAAACTTTTTTATTCAAACTTTACCTGAAATATTCGTTTTAGAGAGTCTGTATCCAGCCAGGGGGGAATATTTGCACAAAATAATGTTCTATCTGTTGGTTTGGATGGTTCAAGAACGCGCACCGCATGCGGTTTAAAAAATAGTTGATGCGCATGCACACTTTCTTCTTTGAACTTTATCTGAAGAATTTTGAATCCGTCCAATACATTTTCCGTCATTCTTCTCTGAAATTATACATTTAAGATAAAATATATCTGGAATAATCAGGCGTAAGTCGCATAAAAAAGTACAATCACATTCAAGAATTTTTGTCCGAGGTAGAATTTTCTATAAAATTATAGATCACTAATTCCTGTTCCTGTAATTCTAAACTTGGCCTCTCCAAGCGTGCAGCTCGAACTCTTTACTAAAATATGATATCATTACATCTTTGTTAATATTCGGTTTGACTGTTTTGCTCTGTCTGATCGCGGACTTTTTGATAGGACCTTACCTAATATGACCCCAAAGAAAGTTTAAGAGCAATTAAAAATAAATTGAGTAACAGAGCTGTTGCAGTTAAATAATATTCGTGAGCCTTATGAGAATAAATTCTGCATTAACTCCCCTCACAATTTTTAAATCACTAAACAACATTTCATGGATTAAAAATGTATTTTTCCCGAACCTAAAACTGCTGATCTTGCACCAGGTTCATCATCTCCATCTTTATCCTGTATTAGGTAAATCTTAGTTTTATCAGGGAAACAATGATATACGAGGAATAATGTCCTCCCCCCACCCCTCTCATCCTGCAATCTGCATATTAAGAATGCATCCCTGATGATTAAATGTACTAGAGGTATCCCTGGATTATATGTACTAGATGTATCCCTGGATGATTAAATGTACTAGATATATCCCTGGATGATTAAATGTACTAGACGTATCCCTGTAACTAGATGTATCCCTGGATGATTGTAAATGTACTAGACGTATCCCTGGATGATTAAATGTACTATATGTATCCCTGGATGATTGTAAATGTACTAGATGTATCCCTGGATTAAATGAACTAGATGTATCCCTGGATGATTAAATGAACTAGATGTATCCGGGTTGGTACAGCATGTCTCCAGGCATCTCCAAGAGCAGGAATTAATCCTGATCCTTCTCCGATCCCTCCACTAACCATTGTTGTCACCTTAAATGTTTCAATTCTGTTCATTTAATCTGTTCAATAATGTAAAAGATAAGCTTGAAAAATGTTTAATTCTGACAGTTGCCCCCATCGTTTCTGGAGAAAAGATCCTCAATTATTTTTTAAAGAGAAACCACAATTGTCCCTATAAAAAGAGTCTTGTATTCTATTTTTTTTTGGGGGGGGGGCAGGGGGGTAAAGTCCTTATCTAGAATTACCTGATTTGTTAGGACTACAGCAATATTATTTTTGTACGCTATCTCATTCAGGTTTTGACATATTCTGTATAGAACACCTATGCAAAATATTCAATACACCATTTTTTCCATAGATAAAGATAGATTGCGCATAAGACGACATTTTTCATCTTGTAAGATATAAATGTACCGAGATGTTTTAAAAATATTCCTATTATATAGATTTACTAGGTCGGTTGTGAACATTGGCTGTTCTTATGTCATTGAGTACTTGTGGTGTACATGAGTTCTGTAGAGAGAAATTTAAGTTGGTTTAGTTTTTCTCATGTCCTTCTTCAGTTCTCGTCAATATGATATATTGCTCAGTGAAATAAAATTCACTCCTGAGTGGTTTAATAATTATGAAATCCATTAAAACACTAAACCACCCCGCTTATCATTGAAGTACACTTTGACCTCTAGAAGTATGAGTTCGCGAAATGTACAATTCTTGGTGATTTTGCGTACATAAGCTATCTATGTTTATTTATTTATCTATGATTATTTCAAGGAGTGCTTGTCTAATGGTCTAAGTTTTTACTCAGAAAAGTTTAAGTAAATTTCGTAGATTTTTTTCGATGCTTAGTAAGAAGTTTATTGTATCGTTATATTGATTTGCTTTCGCTTAGATACCATTTTTGGTAATTAAAAAGCGATTCTGCACTGGAATTTTTTTCACAATAAATTCTCGGCATTTTTCACATGTTCATCATAACTGTTCTTCAATCTCTTTTTATAGTCCAGCTAACTGTTCAATGGGTTTATCACTCGCACAGAAAAAGAGTTTTTCTTATGTTGGAATTGAATTGCTTACATTAGGATTAAAGCTACAATTGGATTGTTTTGTCAGTCTATTTTGCAATTGCAAAACGTATTACTCTCCGGAAAATTTAAACCGTGGTTAAACATAACTTAGAATTGTCGTAGGAGGCTGATTTTTTGCATGCAAACTCAGAATTATGTATATTACATGCATTTTTTGGTTTTGACGGAATCTGAGCAAAAGTGCGCGCGCGCGCTTTTTGTGAAAAAATGCGACTTTTTTGACAGTAAATCAATGTTAACTTCATTAATTGCACTTGAACATTTTTCCTGGCACTCTTAAAACAAATATGCGCTAAAAAATTTCACCTCCAAAGGCTTAAATGTCCGCGCGCGCGCGCAATAAAAGAAAATATCTTTGAATACTTATGTGCTAAGTTTGGCCTAAGTTAGAATAACAGTTGCATGAGACACATCAAACTATAGCAAAATTGGGACAAGGAATTCATTTCCGAGGTCAAAATAGACATTGGAGCATTCTGACCGGCGCGCTAGTAGCCAACCATTACATTATGGGTCATCTTAGTAAATTTTTTACATGTTGCATGTCGATTTATAGGTTATTTGGCACGAGGAATTCATTTCTGAGGTCAAAATAAATATTCGAGCATTCTGACCGGCGCATTAGTAGCCGGCAGTTACATTATGGGTCATCTTCCCACAAATTTACATGTTGTATGTCGATTTATAGGTTATTGGGCACGAGGAATTCATTTCTGAGGTCAAATTTAATATTGGAGCATTCTGACCGGCGCGCTAGTAGCAAACCAATACATTATGGGTCATCTTCCCACATATTTTACATGTTGTATGTCGATTTATAGGTAATTGGGCATGAGGAATTCATTTCTGAGGTCAAAATAAACACATTTTACAGAAAACATTTAGACATGTCCAATGTTCATTACAGATAAAAGTTATCACGTTTACTAGTTTGAACAAGTAGCAAGTAAATTATTGAGAATTGTCATCACATTAGATCATAATTGATGTACAGAAATGACCCTGCAAATGAATACATTTTCTATTTCAAGCATGCTTAAATTGTTTCTTTTCAGATTCTTGTGACCTGAGTCTAAAACTAAAGAACGAAAAGTTTTGACTTAAATTTTAAGTTCATGGTTAAATGCCACTTCTGACTAAATTTAAACCTGAACTTTAACCGTGAGGTTAAATATTTAAACCTGTGGTTCAATATTTAACTTGCCGAAATCGACGAGTTAAAATTTAAACACAGGGTTTGAAATCTTGAAATCCCTATTTGTATATCATCATTCAGCGCTAAACGGCATTCAACTAATTACGATTTATTAAGTAAAAACCTTGATTTAATAAAATTTCACGTTTTAGATTAATTAATGTTTGCACGTAAACCCAAAATACGGTTGTAACTGGAAATATGTTTTGTTTTCCGTCACGTAAATCATTTAAATTTAATAATTACCGAATACCGATACTTACATAATAATTCTTTAAATCCTTTCTCTGATTGGTTCGGATTTTTCCCGGGAAATTCAAATTTAAAATTGAGAAAGTTTAATATTTAAGTAGCTATTCATTATTTTACAGAACTTTTAACCTCGAACTTAAAATTCGCGCATTCTTTAGTTTTAGACTCTGGATTCTAAGAAATATGGTAATATACCAATTTGAAGATGTTTTCCGGTATGGACTCGAATTTTGTAGGATAAACCACATAGTAGTAGGTCAGAATGCTCTGCTTGTGATTTACTCCACCTAGATGGATTCTTCATTCCTGTGGTCTAATACCTAAACCCTGATATACAACCTGAACAAACTTTAGAAAAACTATGATAGGTGGACCCCATAATTACCCTATGGCCAGCAGCGCGCCGATCAGAGTTCTGAAACTTAATTTTTCTTACCTAAGAAAGAGAATCCTTGTTTCTAGTACCCCAGAATCGACATACTACATGCAAAACATATGACAGGATGACCCATAATGTAACTACCGGCTACTGGCGCGGCGGTCAGAATGCTCGAATATTTATTTTGACCTCAGAAATGAATTCCTCATGCCAAATTACCTATAAATCGACATACAACATGTAAATATGTGGGAAGATGACCCATAATGAAACTGCTAGCTACTAGCGAGCCGGTCAGAATGCTCTAATATTTATTTTGACCCCAGAAATGAATGCGTCGTGCCCAATAACCTATAAATCGACATACAACATGTAAATATGTGGGAAGATGACCCATAATGAAACTGCCAGCTACTAGCGCGCCGGTCAGAATGCTCTAATATTTATTTTGACCTCAGAAATGAATTCCTCATGCCAAATTACCTATAAATCGACATACAACATGTAAAAAATGTACTAAAAAGTCGCATTTGTTCACAAAAAGCGCGCGCGCGCGCGCACTTTTGCTCAGATTCATTCAAAACCAAAAAATGCATGTAATATACATAATTCTGAGTTTGCATGCAAAAAATCAGCCTCCTACGACAATTCTAAGTTATGTTTAACCACTGTTTAAATTTTCCGGAGAGTAATACGTTTTGTGGCCCCCCCCCCCTTTAATCAGATGTAAGCAAAGTCTTATTTTAATATATTATCAAAACACCCTGTAGGGCTGAAATTTAACTAGAAATAGAAAGATGAAGAGCTATATTTGTTGAAACCATACCATTCCAGATAAAGGGTTGATCTCCTCCTACCTGAGCTGAAGTCCTGCAGCTACCACTAGGAAATCGTAGGAGATTTTATCCCCACTCTCTGTTGTGACATAATTCTCCTCGGGTTGGAAACCTGTCACCTTCTCTCTAGATAGATAGATAGTTAACATTTTTGGTTTGATACTAACTGAACCGATATAAGCATAATCTTTTCAATTGAATAATTTAAGTTTAATTCCAGAGACCGGGAAACTATGGGAAATCAACAAAAAGATGCTTGAGAAATGATTTAAAGACTGCTTCAAAATAAAAATGAAGTATTTAAAGAAAGCCGAAAGTGTCCAGACCTGGCAAATGTATGCTTGAAAGCGTGAAGCTAGACAGCAGGACTAGCATTAGTTCAAAATTACGTGATATTTTAAACTCGGCATTTTACAAACGTTAAGAGTCTGATAAGTAAATAAATCAGATAAACACTTCTTTGTCTAGCAGGGAACACATTCATAAATATGTTTTTCATCATATTAAAAGGGACTGTAAAATAAAAATAAAAGGGGGTATAGGCTGAAACCTAAGTATTTTAGAAGTTGATCAAGAACCAAGAGTTTGATTTATCCTGTCTCGAGAAGTTGAATAAAAATGTGTCAAATTTGAACGAAAATTTATGTAAATAAAATTTCGTATATAAATCGAAGGAAACAGATCACATTCAGCAAATAGGCAACCTATCTAAAAAAATATCCTAGAGGAACCTGAAAAACTTAGGTTAGCCCCTATTATTATTTGAATTTTATAATTTTTCATTTTTAATAGACATAATTGATAATATAATAAATACGTCCATATCATGTGACAGGAGCCCGCGATTTAAAAGCTTCGGCTCAAGTCGTAATTCCTTAAACCCAACTTTAAGACCCAATCTTCGACCCAACTCTAACGACAGCTTGTGTCACGTGATTGACAGCTGCAAGATCTTCAGCTCGACTTAAGGAGTTAGGCCCAATGAAAATAAAACCGACCTTGATTGGATTTAGTGGAGAATAAGGCTTAATGTTCCGTCTTGTTCTCATAAAAACTGGGAATGCGCTAATTTCTACCATGAAAATCCGCCAAATAGAATATTAAACCTGTTTTTTGAATTCAACTCTAGCTGTGGAAAATAAGATGCAGCTTTAATCTGAAAGCTCAAGCCGTAATTAAGGTCCAACGACAGCTTAGACCTAAGCCGTATTTCCCCGAATTTTTCAAATCGCGGGCTCAGAGCCCGCGATTTAAAAGCTTCAGCTCGAGTCGTAATTCATTAAACCCGACTTTAAGATCCAATCTTCGACCCAACTCTAACGACAGCTTGTGTCACGTGATTGACAGCTGCAAGATCTTCAGCTCGACTTAAGGAGTTAGGCCCAATGAAAATAAAACCGACCTTGGTTGGTTTTAGTGGAAAATAAGGCTCAATGTTGAGTCTTGTTCTCATAAAAACTGGGAATGCGCCAATTCCTACCATGAAAATCCGCCAAATAGAATATTGAACCGGTTTTTGAATTCAACTCGGTGGAAAATAAGATGCAGCTTGAATCCGAAAGCTCAAGCCGTAAATAAGGTCCAACGACAGCTTAGACCCGAGCCGTATTTCCCCGAATTTTTTTAATCGCGGGCTCAGAACTCACACCAATGGCAGTGCATTATCATTATCACGTGTCTCCATTTGTTTCACGTGACCAGTATATTGCACTGTTCTGGTCACGTGATACGGACGTATAAATAATCTTATCAATTATAACTTTTATAAATGAATAATTATCAAAATAAAAAAATGATAGAAGCAAACCAAAGTTTTTCAGGCACCCCTGGGATATCGTTGTTTTCAGATTGGTTACATATTTGCAGAATATGATCTGTTTAAACCTTCGATTTTTATACAAAATCTTATATTTATACATTTCAGTATAAATTTGACATGCAGTTTTATATCAATTTCTCGAGAAAGAAACATCAGATAGAACTCTTCCGGGTCTCAATCAACTCCTGAAATGCTTATGCTTCATTTTTCCTTTACAGTCCCTTGTAAAGTATGGGTTGGACATACTGGTGAGGAGGGTGTGTGTATTCGCTAACTAGCTTTAAATTGGAAGAGATTTAATAAAAAACTTGAATCTAGACCTGTTGTTTATGCCAAGGAATAAGAATAAAGGGAAGGGAAATGGCGCTGGTCTGGCATGAGAAAGCAAGTCGCACTGCATGCAGACGAGTCAAGGAAATTGCAGAACAATTTGTCGTCAACAATAATAAAGCTTACACAACGATAGTTTATTGTACAGTGTACACTTCATTCAAAATTCAAGTTATATTCTTTGCATGAAAATTTGCCTGAAAGTGTTGATTTATATGTATGAATAATATATTACATGTATATTAAACTTATTTTTAAGTAAACAATTAGCAATAAACAAATGTACCCTCTTAGACTGTACAAATACCGAGATTGTCAGTTCATTATCACGCACGCACACTATTTAGGTACATACACACAAACATGAAGTTTCCGCCCCCTTGTTTATGCTGGTTTGCTCTAATGTATTATACTGGTAGCTTTCTGTTTTCAGTCAATATTTACAGAAATTCAAGAATTCATAGAGATTCAGGGTTCATAGAGATTCAAAGATTTAAATAGATAAAAGGATTCATAGAGACTCAAGGATTTATAGAGATGCAAGGATTCATAGAGACTCAAGGATTCATAGAGACTTTAGGATTCACAGAGACTCAAGGATTCATAGAGGCTCAAGAGATTCAAGGATTTATCGACATAAGGATCTAACTAGTTTCATGGATTCATGGAGATTCAAGGATTCATTGAGATTCAAAGATTCAAAGCGAGTCAATGATTCAGAAATTCAAGGAATCATAGAGATTAAAGTATTTATAAAGATTCAAGGATTAATTGAGATTCAAGGATTCGTAGAGATTCAAGGATTTGTAGAGATTCATAGAGATTGAAGGATTCATAAAGATTCAAGGATTCATTAAGATTCATAGAGATTCAAAGATTCATAGCGAGTCAATGATTCAGGGATTCAAGGATTCATAGAGATTAAAGGATTTATAAAGATTCAAGGATTCGTAGAGATTCAAGGATTTATAGAGATTCAAGGATTTATAGAGATTCAAAGATTCATGGAGATTCAAGGATTCAAATAGATTCAAGAAATCTCACGAGACAGACATCACAGTTAAAATACTGTCAACCATTAACTATAAGATCTCGTCTTTAACTTAAAATCCCCTCTCGGAGACACCAAACCAAATAATTTTAGCCCCGTTTTCTTTATTCTCCGGTAACAGAGTCTAAACACTTTTATTATTGTGAACCCATTTCAAAAGTTAAGCAAAGAATATTTTCATATAAAGAATTAGTGACGTTCGTTAATAATTAATTGTCATTCTTTTCAGAAGTTTAAATATAAAAAAACGTCTTAGGACTCTCCAACGGTTTTAACCTACAGATCCTTAATTAGATCGTAAGAATCTTTCCATTATAAATATTCATAAATCATTGTAATAATTTATATGTTATTATCCATTTCATTTTTTAAGAAATAAAGAGTTTCTTTGCATTATCGGTTTTGATTTGAGGGTTATCCCGTTGTCTATCTGTTTATTATTGAGAATCTTGCAGCTATCCGACAACAAATATTTACTTGATCCAAGTAGCTGAGCTTGGAAGAACTGACTCCATTGATTTTCCAGATTGTTCCAAGGTCTTTAATCCTCCCCCTACCAAAGTCCACATAGGTTGGTAGTAATGCATTGTGGCAGGATCTATCACAGCTACCTAATCATGGTTCTTAAATAGTTTAGATAAATTGAGAATATTTATCAACTGTTCATTTAAGGAAAATGGTTAGTTAAAAAATCACATAAAACTATAAGCTTGAGAACCCAGCTTTGCCTGTAAACAAAGGTTTCATTAAGAGAGTCAACCCGTTGAACTAATAAATTTAAAAGCAGGCTAAGAGAAGGAGATAACCCTAATAATAGTCATCATGCAGGATCTTCTCGATCTATCTCAATTTTTTTATATATATTCAGAAATTCGTTGATCTTAGATTGGATTTTGAAGTTAACTAGATGGTTTTTTAAACAACAAAATCAAACTCAAATGTATAGTTTTAATTGAAAATTTTGAAATGAAATCCAATCATCTAGTAGAAACCTTGGTCGTGATCCTACCTTTCCTGTTCCCAGTTTCCTGGAAAACTTCGCGGCTGTTGCGCATCCCCCGGATCCACCGCCAACCACTACAAGTCTAAACTTCCGGATAATAAATTCTACTATAACACTCTATGATGTTAACAAACAGGGATGAAAAATCAACTTATTTTATCAGGGGGAGAGTGGGGGGGGGGAATCAACTCTAAGTAAGAATAAACACCCCTGCAAAATTCAGGGAAGGAAATACGTCTCTATGGCCTTTAAAATTAATTAGAAAATTTTGTAGCAAATTATCATTAAAAAATGAACAAGAATAAAGGCCCCTGGCCCACTTTGCTTGATTGATGGGAGTGAGTTGATTAAATCAAGTATTAGGAACAGTGGATTGGATTTATAATTAATTATAATTTCCGAATATTTGAAAAAAAATGTTTCAAACCCTCTTGATGGTCCAATGCGTGACATTAAAAAATGAACAAGAAAATAGGACCCTAACACACTGTCTGATTGATGGGTTTGAGTTAATCAAACCAAGTTTTAGGGATTTAAAAACTTTAATATATTCAGAAAAACAAAAAAGGCTTGAATCTGTGATAAGAATGGACATTATGTTAATTTTCATTTTTAAATTCTATATTTTAATATTTATCTATCCATCCCTGAAATGTTGGTCTGCCCCAAGGCAACTGCTGGAACTAAAATATTTCTGCCTGAAATATGAAAATAATTAAAACAACAATATTTGTTTCTTTAATAAATTTGTGTTTACGTAAAATTAGTTTAAATTAAACAAAAATTATTGAAGTAAAAAATTGATAATTCTTCAAAAGAACAAACTAGCCTACCCTAGTGTAGACAAGCTTTTTTTCACAGGCTGCAGAACCGACATGTTTGAAAATCTGAAATGTAAATTGTCTAGACTTTGTATTTTGCTAGAAATTATACGAAAATTAACACTTAGCTATTTAACATTGACAACGTTACAAGACAACAATTTATAAATATTTATTGGAATAAGAAAACTTATCGTTAATCGTTATTATTAGCAAAATATTCGTTTAATTTAACAATTTTAAATATCATCACTTCATATCCTTTGTAAATTGTTGTACACTCCCGTGAAGCTGCCTGCAGTATGCCTAATGCCTGGATACAGTGCCTGCTTTAGATATAACCTGGAGTCTCTAGAGATAGATAGATATCGATAGATAGATAAATAGATACGTGTATAGAGATGAACAGATATATATATATATATATATAGAATATATATAATGCATATTGTGTAATAATGATTATTACAGAAGATTCAATTCTGTCATGTTATTGTAACAATTAAGTCAATTTAAGGGTCAACATTTAGTACTGAATTTTAGAGTTTACCCTTGTTTATTTGTTTGTTTAAGTGTCCATGATTTACCTCAAAAAAGGTATCATGGAAAACAATACTTAAAAGCTAAAAAAGCGAAACTGCTCTTAATATTCTACAACAATTATTTAGCTTTAATTAGATCTTAATTAACCATTCAACAATAAATTAACTTAATTGACAAAATTAAGAAATTTACTCAGATTTGCAGAGAAGTCCTCGATCGATGTAAAAAAAAAAACTGATCCAAGAATTTTTCCAGTTCGCGTATTTTTGAAAAAGTTTTTGCGGATTTATTGGGAACCAATTAAAAATAACTATAATTTGAGGTTAATTATAGCCCCACCCCCACCCTCTCAAAAAAATGCATTGTAACTGGGATTTATTTGTACTATGTTAATTATGTGTACTACGCGTACTTTGTAACCTTCAAAGTTTGCAAAAATCTGAGTGCGACATACAGCTTGCTGAATGCTAAACTCTTTTGACGCAGCACTCACTATGAGATGATATGCTTGCACAAATGTTTTCTGAATTGATTGCTAAATCCAAAAATCGTATACTAGGACAGACCCCTTTTCATCAATTGGAAAATTTTTTCATCCTTATTTGATACTTTTTACATAAAAGTTCAGCAAATAAAATTTGCATAACAGCAATGTAACTCAAAAATCGGAATTTTACGCGTTGCTAAACTTAACCTAACTAAAGTGTCCAAAGCTCAGCCGTCTTAAAAGATATTCAACATTGGTTTTTTACATCTTTTAACGAAAAACATTTTTTATATGAGTTGCATGATTTAGCCAAGCAAGAGGAGTTAATAGGAGAAAATTGGACCAGAAACTTGTCAATAAAACATTTTTTAGACCATTTCTGAACTGACAAAATATTTAAAAATAGCATGGTGTTTAGTTAGAAAAAAAGGTTTAGGTTAACCACTCCCAGATGGAGCTGTCAAAAGGTGTAAAAGAGACGCGATTTTTTACCTTTTTCTAAATATTTGACAAACAAAAAAAAATCAAAAAAAAATTGTCAAATATCGTTTTAGCTATATCTTCGTCATTTTTAAGTGTAGAGCTGTTAAATATATGTTCCTCAAATAAATTCATGGTATTCAGATCGTCATGATTACCCTGCAAGACAAGGGACATTAAATTAACATCAAATTGACATCTTTTTAGAGTGCAGTTATGTCATTTTGACGTCACAAAAAGACATCAAATTGATGTAAAAACGTACCCACTTTAACGTCAATATGACGTCATTTTGAGACGTTAGATTGATGTCAAATATCCTAAAATTATGTCAATTTTATGTTTGATTGATGTCTTCCTTATATTTCGAATTTGTGTTAACATATATATATTATAATATGAAAACTAAAAATACAAAAATTAGTTTTGATAAAAAATAACTAAGAATTTGTTCCAAGCTTTTATATTTATAAAACTTCCTCTGATGCGGTCTTTGAGGTGCTCTTCTTCGATCTTGCTTATTCTTGTCAAATTATCTTCCAAAGGTTTTCTATAGCTTAAAGATCTCGCTTTACTCCAGGATAACTTTACATCTTGCGAGTTTCTTAGAGAACTAATCCTAAATAGTTTTTCTATATGTAATCTTTAAACCCTTTGTTAGAAATTTCTTTTTAATAAACTGTACTATATACTGCTAACCTTGTTAAGATCTGATGTTGGTATAGATCTTGAATTAGTTTTAACTGGTTCAGCTCCAGGGATAACTTTAGGCTGACTCCAGATTCAGGTTCTACTCTGGGTACAGGTTCAGGTTTAATCCAAGTACTGGTTTAAGTTCTACTCCGGAGAAGTTTTATTCTCAGGTATAAATCAGGGTTGGAATATTACAAGTAGCTCCAGGTAGAGTCAACGCTGGGCTCTGGTTCAGGATAGGTTCTGCTCTAGTACAGGTTCTAGTTGGGGTCAGGGGTGAGCCTTATCTCAATCTTCTAATTTTTACATATCTTGAACTTTAGGTTTGGTTCTTGTTTCAGTATCCACGTTGATACATCTTGGATCTGCAGGTTGATTTTCTCTTTTATCAGGTTCTACAGAAATTTACAGTTAGATATTTTTACAGTTAGATAACATATTTTTAAAGTTATCAAATTCCTCCTTTACTTCACATAGTCTGATTTTTCTTTTGATGAATTTTCCTCTTTATCTCCAACAAATCTGGTTTTTTATCTTTAGGAACAGGGGCGAACATAAGGATTCTGTAGGGGGGGGTAAATATTTTTAATTTGGCGCGCGAAGCGCGCCGAATTTTTTTTCCCCACCCCCCCTAGAAAAATATCATGATGTATATCAAATTATTGGTTTTAATTGGGTTTGATTTGCATTTTCCACTCATTTCTGGGATTTACAAACTCAATCTAATAAAGGCTTCATTACATACCTTTCAGCTTTCACCTTGTTTTATATCCTTCATTTAGTCATTTATTTTACATTAACTACAAAGATCTGTAAAAAAACTGAATTTATTTAAT